TGGTGAAAATACGCGTAGCCGAAGTTACACCATTTTGAAAGTTTCTACATGTACAATTCAGTGACATCAATTATATTCTTCCAGCTGTGCTGCTATTCGCACTATCCTTTTCCAAATTATTCCATCATCATTATCTTCAACCCACTGTCCCCTAGGCTTCCCATCAAATCTTTTGAGTTGCTGTTGTCAATTTGATCTTACATAGATAATTCTTTTTTTTTGTACCTTAGATGAAGGCTTGCAGAACAAATAGTTTCTCATTAAACAGTTAGTACACACATTGCCCTGTGAGAATGGTTAACAACCCTATTACATGTCAACACTGTCCCTTCTCTACCTTGGGTTCCCTATCACCAGCTTTCCTGTCCCCTTCTGCCTTCTAGTCCTTGTCCTTGGACTGCTGTGCCTCATTAGTCCTGTTTTGTTTTATGAGTCTGTCCAATCCCTGGCTGAATGGTGAACTTTGGGAGTGACTTCATCCTTGAGCTTAAAGGGTGTCTGGGGGCCGTACTCTCAGGGTTTCTCCAGTCTGTCAGGCCAGTAAATCTGTTTTTTTGTTTTGTTTTGTTTTGGTTTTTTTTGTGAGTTAGAATTCTGTTCTACATCCTTTCCCAGCTCTGTCAAGGACCGTCTATTGTGATCCCAGTCAGAGCAGTCAGTGGGGGTAGCTGGGCACCATCTAGCTGTACTGGACTCAGTTTGGTGGAGGCCATGGTAGCTGTGGTCCATTAGTCCTTCAGACTAATCTTTTCCTTGTATCTTGTTCTCTTCATTCTCCCTTGCTCCAGAAGGGATGAGACCAATGGAGTATCTTAGATGGCTGCTCACAGGCTTTTAAGACTCGAGACTCTACTTACCAAGGTAGAATGTAGAACACTGTCTTTATAAACTGTGTTATGCCAACTGAGCTAGATGTTCCCTGAGACCATGGTCCCTACAGCCCTTAGCCCAGCAATTCAGTCCCTCAGGGAGTTTGGAAGTGTCTATGGAGGGTGCATGAGCTTTCCTTGTACAAGTTGTGCTGGCTTCAGCAGTAATGCGTACTGTCTTACCCTTCACCAAAGTTACCACTTATCTATTTAGTTCCCTCCCATCCATCATAACCAACAAAGATTATTTCTTTTTGTGTGTAAACATTTATATGACTTATACAGTAGAGGTCTCATACAATACTTGTCCTTTTGTAATTGACTTATTGCACTCAGCATAATGTCCTCCAGTTTCATCTGTGTTATGAGATGATTCACAGATTCATCATTGTTCTTTGTCGTTGCATAATACACCATTGCGTGCATGTACCATAGTTTGTTTATCCTTTCATCTGTTGATGGGCATCTAGGTTGTTTCCATCTTTTTGCTATTGTGAACAGTGCTTCAATGAATATGGGTGTGCATATGTCTATTAGTGTGACTGCACTTATTTCTCTAAGATATATTCCTAGGAGTGGGATTGCATTTTGTAGTGCTTTTTTTGTGGTGCTGACGTTTTCTTTGTTCCTCTTACTCTCCTGTGCTGAGATCCCTTTGTTTGTGGATTTTTTTTCTTTTGTTTTGTTTTTGTAGGTTTTGTTTTTACTGAGACTATGTTTTTTTTCTTTATTTTGATGAGTAGGTTTGTTAACTTTCTTTGTGGTTACCTTGAAATTTACTCTTATCTTCCTGGATTTGTACCAGTCTATTATTACTTGGTATCACTTGACTTCCTCTCCACTAGAAGGTTCTATACCTGTAACATTTATTCCCTCTTTTATTGTTCTGATGTTGTTGTCATTTACAGATTAACCTCTCTGGTTCCCTTTTGTAATTCTTTTGGTTTTGCATAGTCCTTAAGAGTTCATTTCCTAGGTTGCTATCTGGCTAATACAATCCTGTGTCCTATATTCAGCCTGTGGTCTGATGTTGTTTGTTTGCAGATCGAAGGATTTCCCTTAATAAGTCTTGTAAGTTCAGTTTGGTTTTTACATAGTCCCTTAATTTCTGTTCATCTGGAAATGTCCTAATTTCACCATCATATTTGAACAAGAGTTTTGCAGGATATATTATTCTTGGCTGGCAATTTTTTTCTTTCAAGGTTTTATATATGTCATCCCATTGCCTTCTTGCCTGCAGGGTTTCTGCTGAATAATCTGAGCTTAATCTTATTGTTTCTCCTCTGTATGTGACTTCTTGTTTTCACAAGCTGCTCTCAGGAGTCTTTGTTTGTCTTTGGTATTGGTGAGTGTGATTACAATATGCCTTGGTGATTTTCTTTTGGGGTCTATCCTATATGGGGTTCGTTGAGCTTCTTGGATGGTCAGCTTTTCATCTTTCATGATATTGGGGATGTTTTCTGTCAGCAATTCTTCAATGATTCTCTCTGTGTTTTCTGTTTTCTCCCCCTGTTCTGGAACTCGGGTCACTCGCAGATTTTTGCTTTTGATTGTATCCCACATAATTCTCAGAGTTTCTTCATTTTTCTTCATTCTTTTTTCTGATTTTTCCTCAGAGTTGTACCCAAGTGTTTGTCTTCAATTTCACTGATCCTATCTTCCATCGTTTCAAACCTGCTCCTCAGCCCTTCTATAACACTGTCCATTTCTGAAATCTTGTTTTTCTTTTGGATTTCTAATTGTTGGTTTTATATGATTTCTAGTTGTGAATTTATTTTAGCATTTTGTTCCTGTATTATTTTCTTGAATTCTTCCATTTTTTGTCTGTATTTTCCATGAATTTGTCTATTTTTCCTCATTTTTGTCTTTTCTTTTTGCTTCAACTCTTGGATAATTCTGAATATTACTGATTTGAATTCCCTATCAGTTACGTCTAGTGCCTTTTCTTCTACTGGATGGTCATCTTCTGTTTTATTTTGGATACTTACTGGAAACATCCTGTCCTGTTTTTGTAAATGTTTTGATATTGTCTGCTGTCTTCGGGGCATTCAATGTTTATTTTCCTCATTTATTGAATGTAGATTTGTTTGTTTTGTCCTCCTTTTTTGTTTTATTTGGTTATGTCTGAGCGGGCGGGCTAAGCGTTCTGTTTGCTCAACTGTGGACACGATACTTTTCACCTCCTTCTCCACTGGACAGGGTCAGTCATTCAGGTATGGTACAGCAGGGAAGGTCCAGCTGAAGGGGAGTTGCTGGGATAGGTTTTTTGTGGCATGTACCAGGGCTGACAGTGCGGACCGGGAATCAGTGTAGGGCAGGTTCCAGTAGGCCGTGCCTCTGTTGCTTGGGAGTGTGATGTTCAGCACACGGTGTAGTTAGGCAGGAAGGAGGGGGTATATTTTGATGTGTGGAGCTAAGATTGGTATGGGAAAGATGAGAGAGAGGAGAGAGGAACAGGAGCCAAAGACATACACACAAACAAAAAAGAGTGCTAAGGGAGCTTGCTATTGGAGTGGAGAGATAAGAGACTGAGAAATGAGGAAAAACAAAAATAAAAAAAAGAATAAGGGTAAAAGAAAAAAATGAATAAATCAAGAAACTGGAAATGAAGAAAGACAAAAAGGGAATAAGAGAGAGAAGAAAACTAAATAAAGAAATGAAAAAAAAACACAAACAAACAAACAAAAAAAAAAACAAGAAAAAAGAAACAAATGCCCCCAGGGATGTCCCTGTGCATCTGCACAGAGTAAGGGACTAGCTTCCAAGTCACGTGGTACTGCCCGCTAGAAGCGGCTCCCAAGCTGAGAAAAGAAAAAGAAAACAAACAAATCAAAACAGAACAAATCAGAGCAAACAAACAAAAAAGCCTGAGGGGTCCCACCAGTGTGGCGGCATGGGCCAGGAAGCAGTTTCACAGTCAAGTGGTGTTTTGCAGCCTTTCAGGAAGAAGCAAAGATGGTGCCTGGAGCCAAGTATTTGAGAGAAAGGAAGGAGAGGTGGTGAGAGGTAAGGAAGAAATCTAAAGAAGCAGAAAAAAGCAGCCAACTAATGGCACTCAGGGAGCTGGCCAGTGCGGGCGGGTGGAATCCAAGCGGCACTGGGAGGAAGCTTGTGCTTCCCGTCCAATAGACAGTGGCTGCAGGAAGCAGAGGAGGCTAAATGGGGGTGAAGAAGGGTGGGGGTGGGAAAGCCTATATTGTGGGTTACTGGTTGTTCTGTCTCCTGCTGGAAGCTCCATGAAACTGTTTTCTCATACCGCCTGTTTGCTGATCTCCGATAGGAGTTCAAGATGGTAGATCCATGCTGCAGTAGCTGATAGGGGACCTCGGCATGTATCTCCCTTTGCACTCTGTTCTCGCTCAGTTTCTTATTCCATTTGGTGCTTGGCTGAGTTCTTTATCTTTTAATTTGATGGTTAGGGTTTCAGGATTGACATGTGACTCTATTTGACTTAGATTTTCTGATCTTTGCTGTGGAGGGACAGCGTGGTACTTATGACCATAGCACCATGTTGCCCGGAAGTCTTAGTCTCTTTTTTTATTTTATTTATTTTATTGTTGTTGAGAATAACACAGCAAAATATACACTGATTCAACAGTTTCTACACGTCAGTAACATTGATTACATTCTTTGAATTATTCAACCATTCTCACTCTCCTTTTCTGAGTTGTTCCTCCCCCATTAACATACACTCACTGCCCTCTAAGGTTTCTATCTAATTTTTCAAGTTGCTGTTGTCAGTTTTATCCCATATAGATAATTCTTAAATGAGCATAATGCTCAAGACAGACATATTTTACTTGTTAAGCTAAACTATTGTTTGGTTTTTCAGAAGACCTCAGGGAATATTTAAGGTTTAAAGGTTATCTCAGGACAATCGTTTCAGGTGTTCATCCAGGCTCCGTGGCTCCAGAAAGTCTGCAATTCATGTAAATGTTTTTTTTTTTTAAATGAAAATAGTTTTCTCATAGAGTGATTGCAGTTAAAAAGCTAATTACTTCAGCCTTTTTCTACATTGGCCTGCCTGCCCTTAGTTTTTGCTCTTGTCCTCGTAGACAAACCTCTTTTTGGCCAGGGGATACCAACCAAGCACCACCCACATCTGAAGACTAGATAAAAATATGCACTGACCTGTCCTCCTTGACTGAAGACACCTGAAGAAAAAAAAAAAGGCACAAAATCAAAAAACTGTAATTTCTGAATGTGCAGAGAGTCAGATTTACAAAATTAAGAAATCTCCAAGCTTGGAATGTTTCCATTCTAGGCTCTTGGCCATTTCAGCAAATCATAGCATGATTACTTGATTTTTTACACTTGCTCATTTAGGGACGAGTAGAAGTTTTGTAGGTGATGTAAGGACATAGACCTTGAGAAAGCAACATGTAGGGGAGGTCGGGGTGGGTTGGGAGAAAATAGATTAAGGATCTGGAGATTCGTGTTACAGTCTTGGCCCTGTCATAATTTACTGGGAGAATGACTTTATCATTTCTGATTTCACTTTGGAGAAGTTGCACTGAAAAGTCACCTTTAACTTTCACAAAGATTTAGTCCATTCAGTCCCTCCCAAAAGCTTTTGTTACAGGTATCTGGGGAAGAGGTTAACTTTATTGTTTATTCTTTGGCCCCAAAATTGTTGTTCTGTCTTCTATATTCAGCTTTAAAGACTTGGCCCTAATATAGGCTGGCATGGACCAGCTCATATTCCTTTCTGTAATTCATTTCTCCTAATGTATCTCTCTAAATTCCTGAAAGGGAAAAAAAGAATCCATATGTACCGTCTTGCTTCTCTCTCTCTTACACCCTCTTTATGTTTGAGTGTGTGATGTTAGATTGTGGTTAATTAGCTTAGTTGTTTAAAATAGTGAAATAATAAAAGTCCAAGTCCCAATACTAATATGGGCTCCTGAGTTTTGATCTCTGCATTCCTATTCCAGCAACACCTCTCACATGCAAGTCCAAGGGCACCTTAAAGAGAGAAAGTCTGTGTAAGTACAATCCTTCTCCAATGATGGCCTGCACAAGTGAGATGACAAATCAAAATACCTCAAAGTACATTATTTATCAATGGAGATAAGGAGAGAATGAGGCTTTTAAGCTTGAATGGAGGTTACTGTTCATCTACTGCAGTGATTCCCAACATTGTTGATGCATCAGTAGCAGTGTAGGTGTTGGTTTAAAAATACAGATTCTTAAGTCAATCGCTTAAAAAATTTCACTATGTACGACTAGGAGGGCCTGGAAGTTTATATTTTTGTTACCACTCCAACTGATTTTTATTACCAAAGAAAATTTACTGTAACAGTTTTTTTTTAAAATTACTCCACTATGCCAAACTGTGATCAGAAAAGAAAGGATTTATCCAACGTCTTATGTATAAGAAATGGCAAGCCTAGTGAAGTATAATTAATATCCAGAATGTCTGAGTCCAATTTAGTACTCTTTTCATTAAACTTTAACATAATAATGGTGATAATATTATTAGTAGACACTTCTGAACACTTACAATGTCCCAGCCAATATGTTAAGCACTTTACATGCATTCTCATTTAACTCCCCATGCGGGGGGGGGGGGGTGGGGAGGGGTAGTCCTTTTATATTCCAGTTTATATATGAGGAAAATGAGGTTCAGAAAGGTCACACATCTATAAACTGGAAATGCCAGTATTGAAATCTATTAATCTCTGTCTCAACATTAAGGTCGTTAGATATTATGTTCTCCTAGTCCTCCATAGGCCCTTAGGACCCCATGTTTTGGTAAATTAAGTGTATTTATCAGCCAGATACAGTTAAAAGGGTAGTCCACCTTTGTAAAGTGAAAGTAATAAGACGATAGTAATTAATTTTTTATTCTATCTTTATAACTTAATTTTAATACATTCAAATTTCTTTTTTCTGCCATCTCAGCAATGGGCTGAACTACCCATTCAATTTATTTGGATTCAGTAATCAAACTTTATGATGTCACAGGAATCCTTTATCCATTTTTTAATATTTCTGAATGTAATTTTATGTAAATATAACCAACTTTCATCTAACAATGGCTTCTTTATCTGTTCAATCTTACTGAAAAAATATTTTATATGTTTAGTCATTTAAATTCTCTGATAGTAGTAAAACTCATCTGCTGTTGTCACAGAAATGATACATATGACATAGAATATCCTAGGGCTTAGTCTCATCCTAGCATTTTACAAATGACAGAAGATCTCAGAAAGATAAGATATTTCTCCAAAAGTTTGCACAGGCCATTAGAGGAAGAGAAAAGACTAGGTCTTGGGTCTAGGGATCCTAGCATGTGTTTCTCATCTATAACATCATAGAATGAAAAGATAAAGAAGGAGAGAAATAGATATAGTGACCCTATTTAGTCAGATAGTCCTATTCTGTGTGATAAAATCGTCAGAGTGCAATATGATTGTCCTCTGAACCATCTTAATTCATAGACTATATGATGATTACTCATTAAGGTATACAAAGATATTTATCTGCTTGAAAACCAGCTTATATGTTTTGCATTCTAAAGCTCAGTAACTCCTTCTGAAGGACTCTCTACTTAAGTTGCCTTTTTAACCCTTGAATGATTCAGTTTCAGTTATTTGAGTCCATGTATGTAAGAATAACTGAGGACAGAAAAACTTTCCTTTGCCCTCAAAATCAAGTTAATATTTAATGCAATTAACTATCCTCCATCCTTCTTTTATGGGACAAGCATCAGTTTTGATATTTGGAAGATCTGAATTCAGATTCTAAATTTTCTACATCTACTTGCAAGTCTTTCGCAAGTATCTTAACTTCTCTGTACCATCTTTTTCTTACATGTACAATAGGAATATGAGTATCTTGCTGTGTGTATTGGAGACAATGCATAAAAGCCCTCAGTACATTCCTAGAATATAGTACATGCTGAAAATTATGAACAGCCATTTTTATCATCATCATCATCGTTTTCATCATCATAATCATTATCATTATCCTTATGATGATCTCTCAGAATCAGTCGTTTATATAAAAATTGTTGGGATTTTAAAATACGGTGGATAGCAACTCTTGTCATTTCCTGTTTGGTATAAATATTGGATATTAATTTTAAAGGAAAAACTCACCTGAGAAGAAGCAGAAAACAGCCAGAGAGAGGAGTAGAAAGACACCTGATATTTTCATGGTGCCAGTAAGCTCACTCCGATCAAGGCTACTTTGTCCAGCTCAGGTTCTTTGTCAAGACACTTTCCAGAAAGCACTAAAATAGACATACACACATATATATAGACATGATAGAGGGAGCTGGGCTCTCCACCTTCTTTATAAAATCACATTCTAAAATCCCATGCAGCCCTATTCATTTCAGGCATTTATTGGGACCTGTCACCAACTTAAAGAAGTGCTTCGTGTTCCACGTTAATCTAAAAAATTAGGACAATTATATGAGTCACACCTCAGATCTTATTAATAGAGGATGTAATTTTCCGCCAGTAGTCTCCACTTTCCTAACAACGAATACATCCACCCTGTTCTCTCTCTGTGTTCACTACATTAAAGGAATGATTCACTGGTGAAGCTCCACTTGTTGCCTGTGTCTCTTTCAGACAGGTACTACATGTCTGTCGCCCACATGAGTAACCACAGGGGAAGGGAATCTTGGGCGTCACTTGGATTTGCAGAGTCCAAATCAGCCAAGGTGTGCCTAGAGGAAGCATGTATTCTACATAGTCACTGGAACTGCATCAGAAAAAGCATTTTCTGAGCATTAATCAGCTTATTTATTTTTTAATCATGACTTCGGTCAAATGCCAGTGATTTTCAATTTTTGAATCAAAATGACCAAAGACTCAATATATGATTTTTTAATTTAATTTACAAAATAATATTTTATTCTCTTTTGAAAGTTCCTAATAGACTTGAAATGATTAATGTTTAGCGTTTCTCCCTTTTTCGCAAAGTAGAAAGAGTAGTCATAGTAAAGCTCTCTATAGTCTAACTCCTTGAAAAGATGCATCTCCTGTAGGTTAGATGAACCTCATTAACTGTCATAACCAGTATAAGTGGGATGCCATAACTTTCTCTGAGGGAGCAGTGAAAGACAAATAATGGCTGTAATGATAATGAGAAAGTCTGTCTTAATTCATAAACAGCTATTTAAAATATTAAATTTTTTCACATTGAGAAAATATATACATAATTCAGATATTGTCTCCTTTATCTCAGAAGATTTCTCTTCTTTTTGGAAAATGTACATTTATAGAAACTTTAATTTGATCCATCTTAATATTTAGGATGAATTTTCTGTCTTTACAAATGGAGAATAAAGAGTATTGAATTTGATCATCAAATAGGATGTCATAGTTTTTGATCAAAAATGGAGTGTGACTATGATATAAACAAGGAAGATTTTCTTTTAATTGCCTCTGAGACAATTTTAAAAGACCTGAACTTAAAGAGAATAGAAAAGAGGTGAGAAAATAGCAGTTAGCGTGAATAGGAAAGAGTAATAAAAAGGGAGGAAAAGCTATGCTTGCAAGTATTAAAAGCAGCTTCATTCTAAGGTGGTGTGCATGCACACACACACACACACACACACACACACACATGCATAATGTGTAAGTTCCTTACAGAAAGCTGTAGGTCATACGTTAGGCACTAAAAGTTGCAAAGATATTAATGAATCTTAAAGTCATATTTAAATTTTTCCCGAACACTTTATGAGAATAGGAGTCTGAGGGTTATTTAGAAATATATAATAAATGTAAAATTACTTAAGAAAAGTCGTGAAATTTTCAAATAACAGTTATACCTGTCATGATATTTAACTATTTTTGCCTTGTTAGGTAAGATAATGGATGTAAACAGCAGTGCTTTGAAACTTAAAAACACATCACATACACTTGGTTTTGGGTACTGCTGCTATTTTTCTCCCTCCTTCCCATACTGCTCTCACAGTTTCCTCCTACCTCCTTTTCCTTCTTCTCCTTTGTCAGGGATTGAATTGTGTCTCCCAAAAATATCTGTCAACTTGACTAGGCCATGATTCCCAGTATTGTGTGATTGTCCACCCTGTTGTTGTCTGATGTGACTTTCTTATGTGTTGTAAATCCTACCTCTGTAATGTTAACGAGGTGGGATAAGCGACAGTTATGTTAATGAGGCAGGACTCAATCTACAAGATTAGGTTGTGTTTTAAACCAATCTCTTTTGAGATATAAAAGAAGCTAGCAGAGAGACAGGAGGACCTCATACCACCAAGAAAGTGAGCCATGAGAATAAGGCATCCTTTGGACCCATGGTCCCTGCCCTTAGAAGGTCCTCCACCCGGGGAAGATTGATGACAACGTTCTCCCCCAAGAGCTGACAAAGAGAGAAAGGCTTTCCCTGGAGCTGGCACCCGGAATTCAGATTTGTAGCCTCCTAGACTGTCAGAAAATAATTTTCTCTTGTGGCATTTCTGTTATAGCAGCACTAGATATCTAAGACATCCTCCTTTGACTACAACGTATAGGGCTGATCTAAGCATAATCTCATGTCCAAAAATGATAACTGTTCATAAGCATTAACAAATGAAAAATAACATAACAGTGATAGTCAGCAGTGTCGCATCATAAAGTCCATGGTAGTCTTTCTAAAATTTATTTTTAAACTTCTTCCTCTCATCCAAATGTTTTATTTATGGTCATTGCTTCTCATATCTTGCTTTAAATTCTTAAAATCACTGTTCACCTAAATGTTGCTCCTGTCTTATTCCCCATCTTGTTTATCCTTCTTAGCCTCTGACAACCTTTAAGAGCTGTTCTTCCATATGTGGTTTTCACTCTTTCTTGTATAAAGTGATTCTACTCTCTTTTCTGAAAGTTTTCAATTCTGCATCTTAAACATTTACCTTGCTCACCACAACAAAGCTTTGGAGCGGAAAAGCACAAATTAAGAATTGGTCTTGAGTGGTGTAGGGGATTATAATCAACATATATGTTTTAAGAAACCTGACACCTTGAATAATTTTTATTAAGTTTCTGAGGCCATGTAAAAGGTTTTTTTAAATTATTATTTATATTATTTATATACAGCTTTAAGAATAGGGTAAGGAGCAGTCTCTGGGGAATCACTTAATTAGTTCCTTAAATAAGAAGCTGAGATAATAGAAGGTGTCTTAGTCATCTAGTGCTGCTGTAACAGAAATACCACAAGTGGATGGCTTTAACAAAGATAAATTATTCTCCCACAGTCGAGCACATTACAAGTTCAAATTCAGGGCATCAGCTCCAGCAGAGGGCTTTCTCTGTTGACTCTGGAGGAAGGTCCTTGTGATGCATCAGTCTTCCCTTGGTCTGGAGCATCTCAGCGCAGGAACCCCAGGTCCAAAGGACACGCTCTGCTCCCGGCCCTGCTTTCTTGTTGGTATGAGATTCCCATGTGTCTCTGCTCACTTCTCTCTTTTATATCTCAAAAGAGATTGGCTTAAGACACTACCCAATCTTGTATACCTCATCAGTATAACTACTGCTAATCCATCTTATTACATCATAGTGATAGAGTTTACAACACATAAGGAAATCACATCAGATTACAAAATGGTACACAATCATACAATACTGGGAATCATGATCCAGCCAAGTTGACAGATATTTTGGGGGGACACAATTAAATCCATGAAGGAAGGTTATAAAGAAGTTACTGGAATTTGTTGACAAACACTAAAGAAGTTGTGTGTAATTCTAATTTTTTGGCTACAGAGTAAGTAGATGAGAGCAATTTAAATTTTATTTTCTGTAATACTTTGAAGGAAAAATAAGGAATGTTTTAAGAGTCTTAATGTTTGAGGATATTTCAATGAATTGATTCATGCAAAAAAAATGAAACAGGAAAAAGAAATAAAAGAAAGGCAGATGTAAGAGAAGGCAACAGGAGTCACGGCTCTTAAACAGACATACTAGAATGCAGTCCCAACTTTCATGCAGTTGACTCCCAGATATAGCTATGCACACTTTCTTTTATGTAATTAAATACAAGAGTACTATAAGATTGTATTTTTCCATGTCTAATTTATTTTATAAATACTATACTTTTACTCCCAAATATCACCATTAAGGTAGTATCTACAAACCTATTCACGTTTCATTTAATAAACATTTTAAGAGATCTTAAAAGTAATCTTGATTCTCCAAGTTTTGCTGCTGATTCTAAAACTTCATTTCATCTGCTGAGGTGCAGCTTCATTGTTTTTAGAATGCCTTGGTGGAGTCCAATAAACACATACTTATGTTCGTGTGTTTTAATATTTAATTTGAATATAGCCCTTTTCCATCCCCCAGTATTGCTCATATATAGTAAAATATACTATTTTGAAATATCACCTCTCAATCACTTGTGTCCTTATCCCCTAGCCCCTTAAGCCCTTTCACCATTTAACATAGGTCATGAGGTAAAGACATATTTTCAAGGAAAGACAGCCACCATCTTGATAAAATCACCGCTCAGCATTGAATTCTGAAGGGGCCTGTTTAAGGTCCCTAGGCATATGATAGAAGTTATAGAGTCACTATGAGTTGAAATCAACTCTAAGACGATGGGTTTTTTTTCCGGGTGGTGCAATAGGTTAAGCACTCAAGTACTAACAAAAGATTGAACCCACCCAGAGGTGTCTGGGAAGAGAGGCTTGGCTATCTGCTTCCACAAGGTCATAGCCTTGAAAATCCTATGGAGCACAGTTCTATTCTGCACACGATAAGTCATCATGACTCTGAAACAACTTGAAAGCAACTAGTTACTGGTAGCCATCTCTAAAATCAGGAATCTTTCTTATTTGAAACACTCCAATTTTTGTTCAGAGAGAAAATTGTCTTTCTTGGAACTCTGACCGCATAGGAAATAGATGAAATCTTTCCTAGGACTGAGGGGAGTGGTCTGGAAGAGAAGGAAAAAGAAGTTCCAGAATTAGACTTCACTTTCTTGACTTAGTGCAATATCCCTGCCTTGTGGGGGAGGATGAAGATGGGTCATCCGATTTTAAATGGGTTCAGTAGAGTGACAATAACAAGGAGACGTCTAGGTATTTTGAGTTGAGAGCAG